ACAATAATAATACTGCACTTAATGATATTTTTAATGATATTGATGATTTTAATGCTTTTAACAATATTGATACTCTTGATGATAATTTTAATGATGATGATAATTTTAGTGATGATGATAATTTTAACGATGATGATGATACTTTGAATGAAGTATTTAATGGTAAAATGTTTGGTGATAAAGCGTTTGATGGTGAAGCATTTGACGATGAAGAATTTGACGGTAAAGTATTTGATGAGATATTAAATAAAAATGTTGAAATGTTGAGTAATGATAAAATATTAATAGATTCTATGCTAAGTAAAGAATCTGATAAAATTATTGACGAAGCATTAAATATCAAAGAAATGCTATCTATTAGTGAAGAATTTTTTCCATATTTTAAAAATCTTATTGAAGTGTTAATATTTTGCTAGATTTAAAAACACAGCATATGTATGTAAAAAAACTTATTTTATTATTAACAATTTTAAAAGTCTAAATTTATTATACATATTCAAATAGCTACTTAAGCTTATAATGAACTGGTAGATATAATTCATTATTTACAGTTTAAGAGTGAAGATGTAGTAACGAATATTCATCAGTTTAGGAAATATCAGCAAAGACTACCTTTACTTCCAATCAAAATGTGAAATATTTATATTTTAAGCAAAAATACGCTGTCTATATCTAAAAATATTAAAGAGATGTATTACTTGTTTATTATTGATATAATTTGGCATTTTCTCAATAATCCTTTATTGTTAAGCTGAATATATTTTGGGCCTGGTCAAAATGTCAAACAAAATAAAGAACTTTGGCACAGAAATATATGAAAATAATCTCCACAATTTGGATATGCGTTTATACAATTCAATGGAGTAAGTTATTTATTAGTTTTTTAATTATTTGCAAAATTTAATGAAGTATAATCATAATACTAAAAACAATAATTATGTTATTAATATTAATTTTAGCAACATATAAGTGTGAAGAGTTTATAGTCTATAAAGAATCAGTGACAACAAATCGATTTAGCTGAATTTTAGCAATAGTGGATGTAGATGGCAAGCTCAAAATAATAGTTCAATATATTTTGATATTTGAAGAACTGCCAAATAACTTGAAGAGTAATAATCGAAGAAACAGATCACATAATGAATTGTGGTTTTTAGATAGAGAAATAGAAAATGCAATTATAGTTATCGAATTACAGAATATCATAAAAATTATCACAATTGTTATACTTTATAACAAAGATAACATTAATGGTTCTTCTCTGGTTTTTATTTGTAAGATTCTTTATAAGCATCAAGGTCATTGAAAGTTAAGGGATGTTGTATATTCTTACAAACATCTATCTGAGTTTGCTACATTAAAGATATCTAAAATGAACCTCCCAGTATATAAATTGTATATTGATCTTTATTATGATGATTTTGGGACATACTATAATGTCTACCATTTACTAGAAAGTGTTTATATCCAAATCGGCAATTTACCTTTTAATGAAAGAAAGCATTTAAAGAATCATTTTGTACTTGGGTTCATTCTATTTAGAGGTTGTTTTAACAAATTTATTAAACCTTTCATTAATGAGATAGAACAACTAGAAAAAGAAATCATGATAGATATACAAGGAAACCAATACCTTATTATTGCAAGTCTCGATAATATAACAGCTAACCTACTATAAGGAAATAATTTAGCTGGAGTCAAAATGCATAGCACAATAAGAGGGTGTTGTACATGCAATGTAGTAAAAGGTTTTTGGACCTCTGAAGGTCATGATTTGTCATTGGCTTCCCGCTACTATCATTTTACAAATAATCAATTCATAGAAATTTCTGTGGTACTAACTATTACAAAACATAAAGAACTTGCCACAAAATATGAATTATATTTACAACTACCAATACTTGATAAACTAAAAAGAGAGAGACATCTTCAGTGTCCACATGATATCTGCCATCTTACAGCTAGAAAAGCATTAAGATTTATCAAGATAACAATTGTCATACTTTCAAATGAAGAAAAATTGGAATTTATTAAATTTTAGAAATCATTCAAATATCTAAAAACATGGCAGAAGTTACCAAATCTGATCTTTTATATTGATAGTTTCATAATATCAGATTGCTTACATTTGGCTATGATGATTCTGTTTGTTCTTAATAGATTCTTAAAACCATCATTTTTTAAAAATTCTGAACTAACTTTATTTCAAAAGTAAACAGGTGTTTCTTGAAGTGATCTAGCTGTAAAGTTGTGGTTAAATTGTTGGGTGTTAATAGCAAAATCAATGACAATATCTTTTAAACAGTCTTTTATGAAAGATGATTATATTGAGTTGTAGAAATATTTGGATAGTAAAAGAAAATTACTCTCACAAGTATATATTAATTAGTCAATTTAAGTGTATTGTTTATTAAATAATATTTATCAATATAATTACAATAACCTTAAAAAAAAAAAAAAAAAACAATAACAATCACAAATTAGGCTTTTCAAGATTTTAAAAATCTTTTAAACTTGCATGTTAATTATTATTTGGTACAACATGCAAAAAATTATGCAACTTTGCTAAATACAGATGTAGGAACCATAGAAATAGTGCATCAAATATTTAAAAATATAGTCTTACAGACAAATCAGAAAAATATAGATCCTAACTTGCTAAAATGGTATACTACATTGTTTGCAATATGCTATCTATTTGATGGTGGTGTCGACAAATACTTTCTTTTACTAATAATGCTTTAAAGAATCCTCTATATTAATTAAAGCATTTAACGAACGATTAGTTTATTATTAAAAATATTTTTGATCTAGAAGATATAAATGAAGGTTTGAATGAAATACTTTTATTGAATTGCATTAGATTTTTAATTAATAATTTGATATCATTTCTTTACTAGTGCAGAATGAATACATCTCAAACATAATCTTAAACAAGCATATACCAAAAAAGAAAATTGAAAAAAATTTTCCAAATAATTCTACATTTCATA